ATTTTGCCGCAGTTCGTTGAAGTTGAACCGAACGAACAGCAAGCAGCAAGCGGCAAAATCGAGGCAATATTATTTATTGCAATAAATATTAGGAAAATAAACGAAGAATGGCTTCGGATAAGGTACGAATGTTTGTAAATTAGATTATTTTATACTTTACACTTTACTTTTTCAAATTTGTGGTACAGTATAAAATGATCTAATTTACAAACATGTATCCGTACCTTATCCGAAGCCATTTTTCGTTTATTTTCCTAATATTTATTGCAATAAATAATATTTTCATAATGAAACGACGGACATATTGTACGCTTTCTCGATTTTGCCGCTTGCTGCTTACTGTTCGTTCGGTTCAACTTCAACGAACTGCGGCAAAATGTATTTTGCGCCGGAAGTGCGTCATCTAGCTTACATAAAATTCTTAACCAATAGTAACGAATTGCTGCTGCAGCGTGCTGCGCATGAAAAAGCACCTTTAGAGGCGCGATGAATATTACCATATATGGTTCGATCGAAGCGAAGATAACGCGATATCATTAAACTCATAAGAGCAACTACCAAATTGCTGAGACGGAGAGTCTCGTATTAGAATTGAAACGTAACGATACGTTACGCGCGTCGCAAGTAAGTAACCGAGCCATGATGAACATCCGCGATAACATGTGCCACCGGCAGGTTTAATCATAGTCACGAGCGCGATTATTACGATAAATTATAATCAATTGTAACAACGAGTAAGAAATTCGAATCTATACCTATATCGAAGTTATAATCAATTATTATATTAAAAATCAATATTATTAAATAAAAGAGGTCATTTTTAATGAAATTGGTGAAGTGAGTGTTTTGTTCGACGACCTTCGTTCATTATCCGTACCTCTCCTTGTGGGTTCTAACCCTTTGGGCGGAACGGATCCCACAATAATATCTTGTTGCACCGAAAGGTACAACACTGTTTAATTATAACAATTAATGTAAAAGAAATGAAGATGTTTAAAAAAGCATTTTAAAGCTTAAAATCTCTACTTTTCAGATCAATATTTGAAAAAACGATTTTACTGATATTTCGTGAAGTTACATAAACATAAATAAAAGTGCGTCAACCTAACAATTTTTTACGAAATTTGAGATGTTCCACCGCACGAAATAAAAATTGTGCACAAATGTGGTTTACATCATTCGAAAGAGCGAATCTTTACCTTTAATTTGCTTTTTTATAAAGCTCCGTACAATTTTTTTTCATCGAGTTATTCAACGTTGAAGCAAAAATGACTCTTTTGCTTCAACGTTGAATAACTCGGTGAAAAAAAATCGTACGGAGCTTCGTAAAAAAGCAAATTAAAGGTAAAGATTCGCTCTTCCGAATGGCGTAAATCGCATTAGCGTACAATTTTTAGTCCGCCCCGTGGAATAATCAAATTTCATAAAAAATTTTAAGATCTGATATATCTTCATTTATGTTTGTGTAACTTTATAAAATCTCCATGAGACCACTTTTCCAAGTAACGATCTGAAAAGTAGAGGTTTCAAGCTGTAAAATGCTTTTTTAAACATCTCGATACGATGATTTTTGACGAAGTTATGCTGTCTTGAAGTTTGCCTATTTTTGCATAGTGAAACAGTGTTGCGTTAATTTTGTTGCGCAGTGTATTATTAAAGATAATTATAGACTTTACATTATTTATATACGGGTTTGTATATATTAAACTTTATTTTCATGACAATAGAAAAAATTAATATATTTTAAAACTAAAGAGAAACAGGCCTTATTAAATATATTTAATATATTTAATGTATTTTTCAATTTTATTTCTCGATCTTAAATATTCCTAAATATAATTACAGTACACATTATTATATATTGCTGTGTTTTATTGAATTGATACAAGCATCAGTTATAACACGTATTATAAAGAAATACAGAAACTCAAAAATAGACATGAGACTGAAACCAGCAAATAATCCAAGTAAACCGCCAAATGATGCTGCAAATATGTATCAATAAATTAATTATTATTCTTGTATATGAGATATTATTTTATAATTATTCAAAATATGAATCTTACCGTGAATTTTCATGGAAGGACACTTTAACGTATTTTGGGACAAAATAAAAGAATGCAATAAAAGTGAGTGCATTCTGCTATTGATGAGGGAAACAACTACAAAGAGAAGCTTGAAAATGAACATCTCGATCTTTTATATAAAAAAAAAAACGTGGACATTACCCTACGAGGTTTGGTATATAACCAAACCTCGTAGGGTAATGTCCACGTTTTTTTTTATTCTTTTTCATATTATTACGTGTAGGTTAAATAAGGATAAACAATAAAAGTTAATTATTTGTTCTTGTCTAATCCACGTAATAGTATGAAAAAGAACAACAAGAACGTGGAAATTATCCTACAAAGTTTGGTATAGGAGAATGTCCACTCTTAGGTTTTTTTTCCCTATTAGAAATTGCATACAGTTAAGGAATAGAAATAGAGAATATATGTATATATATATGTATATACATATTGTATATATATGTATACATATATACAGGAACAGAAACAAGAAATAAGAATTTTAACTAATCAGAAACGTTGTATTATGGAATACATAGTTTCGGATAAATTAAAATTTTTATTTTCTGTTTCTGTTCCTATTTCTTGATTGTGCATAATTAAGGAGGATTTGATTTTTCCTGTAATTCTTTTATTTTGTATCAAAACGCATTATATGAAACTACTGTACCAAAATTCGCGGTAAGATATTTAAAATTCTTACCAACATTTTATATAAAAACTTTATCTTACCAAAAACATTCCGCCAACTATAATTGACTGATCGTCGATATTGGAAAGCAACCAAATCGTTGAAAAATATATGTATTATACTATGATTGTGTATGCTGATAGTGTTACTGTGAAATTATAATAATACCATTAAAAGATACACAGAGAACTTTGGCTGCATTCCGTTATTCACTATACAATATGTATTGTATATATAATATTATATATAAAATATATCATAATATATGCTTTGACGAGATATATTAGAAGTTAGCGTGTAAAAAGTACGCATATTTGAAAGAAAATATATAATTTAATGCTTTATATATGTATATACAATTAAATTTTTTTTACCGAGAGTTTTTTGAGAAACTGGCACCATTATAATAAACAGTATCATCGAGAGATCCAAAAGAGCTTTCAATGGGATAATAATACAGAAGACAATCCGGTATGCATCCACAGGGTACTTTATTTACATCATCTAATATTTCTAGAAGATTTTGTTTATGATTCATCTTTGGCCATGAACTGTCAAAAATTGCTGTAGAAACAAAAATACGTCTCGCTTTGTGTGGAACGTTGTACACTTTACGTCTGTAAAGCTTTACAGCTTTTGTCAAAATTTTGAAAAAATAAGCAGAGTTCTTTGCTCCCCCAAGAGTTCTAGAGTTCTCTAACAAATTTAGGAAGAGTTCCATTGATTAAAGCATCGAAAACATCATTTGAAATAACGGGGGGGCCAACTTCACGATTTTGCAACTTTGAAGAGCTGTAACTTCTAAATCATTCATTTTAGCACGTTGGTCTACAGAGGACAATCGATAAAACTCTTTGAGGGGCTATCAGAACTCTCAAAAAAATAATGAATTTCTAAAATTTTTTTCCAAAAAAATTTTTTTTTTAAGGAAATTCGGCAATCTGATACGAGTTTTGTAGCCCCCCGAAGAGTTCTAACGATTATCCTTAACAACCGATGCTCTGAAATCAATATCTAACAAGATATAGTATTTTGAAGTTACAGATTTTTAATTTTTCAAAGTTAGCAAACGAAAAATATTTTCTCGGAAATCTGGTGTTTTCCTGAGAGCTCTGGTAGCCCTTCTAAGAGTTCTAACGATTATCCTTAACAACCGATGCTCTAAAATTAATATCTAAAAAGATATATATAGCATTTTGAAGTTACAGGTTTTCTATGTTCACAGACGAAAAATATTTTCTCGGAAATCCGGTGTTTTCCTGAGAGTTCTGGTAGCCTCCGCAAGTGTTCTAACGATTATCCTTAATAACCTTCGGTTATTAAGTGTTCTAACGATTATTTTTAATAACCGAAGGTTATTATAAGGATAATCGATATGATTTTATACTGATT